TGTCAGAAATTTCATGGATTGTCAAACTATAATTATTATGGACATTTCCATAGCAACCAACCATTCCAACAACTGCGATTTCTATCAAATTTTATTTTAATTGAACACTACAGGAAAAATAAAGAGATATATATCATTATGAACAATCGGAGAAAAAATTATATGTTCAGCTCGGCAGCAAAGTAGATTGACTGCCTTAGCTGGATTCCTAGCCTCGGTACACTCGGCTATGAATTCAGCCTCGGCAGTCAATCTACTACTTTGCTGCCTAGTTAAACAAATAACTATACATTTGTCATGGATTTCCATCAAGTAAAGGCCGAGTCAATTCAAAAAATTATTATTTCGTAGCTGAAAAATTATTCTACTAGCGAAGCTGTCACTATCGATAGGGCAATTTCGATAAGCGATAGTAAACTTCCATCTGCACGTGTCCAACCCTCGTCCAACCCTCGAAAGGAGATCCGGAAACCAGTTCCATGCATTCTGAAATTTTCAGCGATCGGAAAGGAAATTGGGGACGTTTACGGACGTGAATGGACTTCGGAAAGAAGAAAAGACGTATCCTTGTATCTGGTATGATACGAAAAATAGACGAAAATACTTATGGACACTTTCAGTGGCGGATTTAGGGGAGGGCTGTAGGGGCTGCAGCCCAGGGCGGCAGATTTTTAAGGGCGGCAAATTTTAGAAGCATGTTTTTTTAGTTTGAAACTTAAAAAAATAACAACCTGTACAATTTATGCCTTAAAACTTTGTCAAAAACACGTTGGTCAGCAAGGGATGACGCTTGCAAGGCATTAAATGAAGACTGGAATGGAATCATAGAAGCCCTTACAGTTACATCAAATGACGAAACAGAAAAAGCAACCACACGGAGTGAAGCATCCACCTACCTCCGTCAGTTACACAGATTAGAAACTGCTTTTTTATCAATTCTATGGGGAGATTTGCTATGCAGGTTCAATGTAACAAGTAAAAAACTACAGGCATGTGAAACCGATTTATCAAGAGTAGCACTATTATATGCATCTTTATCCGAGTACATACGTAGTCTCATGCAGAAGAGAACTTGAATTCGAAATTTATGAAAATGGGGCACTGGTAAAATCAGAAGAGACTACATATGAAGACGAAAACGTAACAAAACGAAGGCGGATACGAAAACTCCAGTCCGATGAAAGTAGAGAAGGAGAAGTAACGTTGATTGGTAGGGACAAGTTTAGAGTGAATACATACAATGTCATTTTGGACACATTGATTTCTGAAATGGAAAAAAGAAAAACTGTTTATGATGAGCTCCACTCGTTGTTTGGATTTCTTATCAATAATAATGATGGGGAAGAAGCCTCCAATATGAAAACACTTGGAGAATGCAGCAAGAAACTGTGCACTTTATATCACAAAGATCTCCCTACGGCGGAAGATTTTGCTAGAGAATGTTTACATTTTTTGGCTTTTTGAAAGAACTGAAAGAAAAAGAACGCCCACTGACAATTATTGGACTCTACGAAGCTCTACACGATAATGCACTTCAAGACTTATATCCTTATGTCGACATAGCATTAAAACTGTTTTTAACAATCCCGGCATCGAACTGTTCAGCGGAAAGATCATTTTCCGTCCTGAAGAGGATCAAAAGCTACGAAAGATCAACGATGACTGAGGCACGTTTAAGGGATGTGGCAATACTAAACATTGAATCTGACATAACAAAGAGATTGGACTTCGATGATGTTATTGACTCCTTTTCAAATTCATGCTCACGAAGAAAGTGCTTTTAATTAAAGAAGTGGGTTTGCTTGTATGCTGATTCTGTACAATTGTACATACAGCAACAGTATTATTAAAAGATTTTCACCGTCGGTGAATCACCGATCACATATTACTTTCAATATGTTATTTTAATAAAATTTGCATAACAATTAATTACCTCAAATCAAACTACGTTTTTCTTTTTTTCACTATTAAACATTTAGTTCCACTCCAACTTAAATAAAATAGTATTCATATATTGAAAAAAAAAATGTATTTATATATTGAAAAAAAAATGTTACAAGTTACAAACTGATAAATAATCAAACCATAAATTAACTTGGGGGCGGAGATTTGTCGCTAGCCCTTAGGCGGCAAAAGTTTAAATCCGCCACTGGACACTTTAAGGAGGCTGTATCAGGGTGATTTACATATAGACGACACATCAAAAGTTTTCCAACAAGGCAGTTGGATCAAAAACTTGGAAATTGGTATGCTTTTATAATCTATCTTTTCCAATCTACCTGAAATATTTCCAGTCCTCCAGGTATAAACAGTGTGCCTAAGCTCGGCATCAACAACTTTCCTAGTAGTATGGTAGTAGTTATAGTAACTAGTAGTAGTAGTAGTAGTGGTAGTATATGTACTTCGTTAGTATGAACGTATGTGCATTCCAACTGGCCATTGACCCAACGAGCGGTCCTTCAGCCCATGTGTGATCTGTGTAGGCTTTGTTACTAACTTTATACGCCACCTTAGATGCAGCACGCATTGGAACGCAACAGCGAGTCGTGTGGAATCATCATCTCCGGCAGAGGCTTAGAAAATTAGAATTTATGACTCGTTCTATAATTAAATATTGTCTGCTTTGCCGAGGATTCAACTTAGCAACCTTTCGATGTTCTAATTAATACTCGAGCGCCTCAATCACTGCACTATTCGACCGTCCAACTTTCTTATTCTATTCTTGAATAGTAATCTATTTTTTTCACACGGTTGAATGGGTTAGACAACCTAATTTATGTCAATATAAATCATACAGTTTTCGAGGGAATATTTTCCCCATATACAGGGTGAGTCATGACTTACCAGCCATAGCTTAATGGCGGATAGAGGAAGTGAAGGTGAGTTGATATATATGTGAAAACATATATTTCGCTATAGGATATACAGTGTGGTCATTTAAGTGTGCAACATATGGGAATCTTTTTAATGAATTGCACAACCAAAATACAGATAGTGCCGAAAGTTGGTGCATGCTCGGTGATCATTTTAGCTGCACTAAGAATGGTTGCAAGTCACACAGCATACATGGTAGGTCAAAAAATATAAAAATTGTTCACGACAATTTATTATTTCAGCTGTCTGGTATCTCTGAGAATCAAATATATCCATGTTTTGTGCAATCTAATTTTGTCACTCGAAATCATAGACTCTCAATAGATGTCATTTTGACAGCTGATCACATAACTTTGCATTAACATCTTCGATAGTTAAAAACGAATATGTTTTATAACAAGATGACACTGATGGCAATCGATTGAATTTTTCTTTTATGCTTTCCAATACGGACATTTTCAAACGCAGTGATATTTTGTGGCAAATCATCTGATTTGTATTTACTACACGTTTATTGAAATAATACTCGTATTTTTATTTGGAGAAACGAGGTGGAAAAATTCCAAAAAACATTGGTGAAATGAATATGTTTCACCTTGTACGCTTGCAGGAGTCTGGAGAAGGTAATGTCCGTGTAACAAAATTCAGTTTGATTTATTTATTCGCTAGATAGGCCATAAATTCCCATTTTCATTAGCGAAAAGCCATTTTTCTAATAGAAAATACGCGAGGTCCTTTATTTCAAAAGAAGACTGTCACTAATACGACTAAAATCCATCACGGATCAGGTGACAAGAACATATGGGCATGCTAAATTTCTTCCTGTTGTTACTGTAATCCCACAATGTATATGAATAATTATTGTGAAAAGTGAAGAAGGTAACAGAAGTACTTTGCCATGCATGGGAGCAAAGGTATATCCATTTCCTACCGCGTGTGGAGTTTGAATATATGATCTTATCCACGACCGCATATTTGAGAGCGTCGTTTTTGAAATCATGCTTCAAGCGGTCTATCTCTCAAGTCTCGATCCAAATCCATGTTAAAGTTTATGCAAAGTCAGTTGAACAGATCATCAAACGAATGTCGGGCCGCGCTGCCGCACTCTTTGAACTTTCAAAGAGACCGACGGCTTGCGGTGATGTATTTTTCCAACTGACTTTGCATAAACTATACATGATCTAAGGTTATTTGAATCTGAACGAAAACCAATTTGATGGTTCTGTCACATTAAATTTGTTTATTGAATAATTTCATTTCATTCAGAGTTTCGATTGAGTAAGTTTTAAATATGAGGAAGCAAGCTAAAGCCAATTTATTTTACCTCCCACGGTAGGTAATATGTGTTTTCCCCGTGGGAGTAAATTTATAGGTTTGTGTTCTCAAATGAGCAAACGCTTACTTTCGATGCAATGAGTAGATAAAATCATTTATATTCATACACAATCTGGTGTGAAATTTTCTTACCGAATTCCACACTGAAATTTCGTTCATGAATATTTTGAAAATTATCCTCGGACTCGGAATAATGTGAAAGATATATTCATGAACTCAAAACAATTTCCGGAAATAATTTAATCTCTAGTGGTATTACAAGTGGAAATCCCTAAATATTCAGTTCAGTTCAATTCATTCAACATGAAATCAAAATAGTTCTGATTCATCGATTCGCACTATCACACTATGGTTATTGAAACACTATTCAATGAGATAAACGGTTAATCATCTATTTTCTCCAACTACTGTCTCCTTATTCTTCGTGTGCTAACCGAGCAATGAAATAACAAACACCTTAGTCATATCTTACTAATAGGATCAGAAGATATAGATATATATAGGGTGGTGTTCTATCATATTTCTAACAGTCATATCTTACTAATAGGATCAGAAGATATAGATATATATATATTTCTAACAGTACCTAGGTATATTATGATACTCATAATAATTATGTCTCATAGGATAAGGATAAGATTTTTTTATGGATTAATCACATATATTGAAAGAAAGATGAATAATATAACAATATATCATAAATCTACACCTCTTTTTGGTAAAAATGGTTGATAAGCATGTTTCATATAGTTTTTTTTTTGTCTTCTATCTGAACCATTCTCATGATGATCGCGAGATATCGGAGTATATCAAAAATTTCAAGGATATATCACTTCCATATATAGTAATGATCATAAAATAATTTGAGTATGCTTGGTTGCAAGGTGTGTTTGGGTTAAGCGTGAGATATAACTAGATCAATTTACATCAATATCCTTTATCATTCCAGGTCACCTATACTAATTTACAGCACAAATCCAATAATACAACAACCAATTGATTGTAGATCCAGTCACGAAGCCTAGACGTGCTGCATATCTCACATCACAATGGCTCTTTTGAATGCCCTAAGCCTAGTAAATTGGCCAGCTTTGGGATTCACAGTGCTACCCAATTTGGGAGGGATAGCTGGAGTTTTCATCTCCAAAAATCCAATCGAGACATGGTACAAAACGTTGAAACTACCTTCATGGAGGCCCCCAAACTGGGCTTTCGGCCCTGTTTGGACAACCTTGTATTGTGGAATGGGCTATGCATCTTATATGGTCTATCGTGATGGAAATGGATTGATGGGTGAGTATAATAACAGAGGCCCTTGAATAGCAAGTATATTCATTATACTAACCTATTGGTATCGTCTAATACCATTGCCACCAATTCCGGCATTCCACAAGGATCAATTTTGGCACCAACATTGCTCCTAGCAGTCCTAGCTCATATCAACGATCTAGTGGGAGCAATCACTTGCTCTATCCACAGCTTTGCAGACGATAATCTTTCCATACTGCGTTCTCTTCTAGAATTCCCGTTTCTTCCCAGGAAACCAAGAACTTACGACGAAGTCAGGCTAACGCTGTCAGGCAGATCGCTTCACGTGGTGGTGGACGGTGTATCGTCTGATACCATTGGCATCAATTCCGGCGTTCCACAAGGATCAATTTTGGCACCAACATTATTCCTGCTTCATATCAATGATCTGTTGGGAGTAACAACTTGCCCCATCCACAGCTTTGCAGATGATAGTACCCTCCATACTGCGTTCTCTTCCAGAATTCCCATTTCTTCCCAGGAAACTAAGAACTCACGGCGCAGGCAGGTCAATGCTGTCAATGAAGATCTTGCTGAAATCACAGCCTGGGGAACAAACAACCTAGTTGAATTCAACGCCACCAAAACTCAAGCCTGCATTTTCTCTAGAAAGGCGGAACTCAGTATGCCCGATATTGTAATGTCTGGCTCCACCATCCCCACCAAGCCCACCATATCTATGCTCGGTATTACTATCAGCAACACCCTCTCATGAGAAAATCATGTTCGATCCATCGCTAAAGCTGCTTCACAAAAACTCGGATTCTTGTTCCGTGCAAAAAACTATTTCACACCTCAACATCTTATCATGATCTACAAAGCACAAATACGGCCAGTTTTAGACTACTGTTCACATGTATGAGGTTTAGCACCCAAACATACGCTGATGCTCTTGGATTCCATCCAGCGAAGAGCCATTCGCCTGGTGGGTGATGCCACACTCACTAATTCTTTGACCTCATTAGAACACCGTAGAAAATTTGGCGACCACTCACTTTTTTATAGATACTTCCACGGAAAATGTTCCTCCGAAATCTGTGCTATAATTCCATCACTAGCGATACCAGTCAGGCGAACTCGACAGGCCTAGTCAGCACATCCTTTCGTCGTTAACCTTGAAATATGTCGAACAACACTCTACCAAAACTTGTTCGTCTATAGAACGGCGAAGCTTTGGAATTCACTACCAATGGAAATTGTCCTAAGAACTACTCGTTTAAACGAGTCGATGCATAGATTTCGGGAGGATGTAATTCAAAATCCTGCGTGGCATTAGCCAGGGAAGTAGTTGTTTTTCTCCCGTAATCTACCATTGTTGTTCATTTTTTTATGAACACTGGGTGGAAATGACTGTGAGCTTTTCACATTTATTTACTATTTCATTCCACTGTGAGCATTGTGGCTATTTCGTAGTTCTTATCACGCCAGTCGGGCTGCCAGCCACTCCCGTATGGGAATTTCAGTTTTGGAGTGATTCTTTCCTCGGTCTACTCAGATGGCGTTACTTTCATTTTATCGATGAAAGACGCCTCGGGGTGGATATAATGCCAACTTGATTTTTGTTTGGCTAGGCTTCGCTCAGACGGCGGTCTTAGGACTGCTGGCTGGAGACTACACTGCACTGATGAGAGTCAAAGAGCTCGAAACCGGTCAGTGGTTGTCTAGCGGCCTGGCTTGATCGAAATCAATAGGCATTCAGGAAAGAATCACTTGTATCAGTATTCGTTTAAACGAGTCGATGCATAGATTTCGGGAGGATGTAATTCAATATCCTGCGTGGCATTAGCCAGGGAAGTAGTTGTTTTTCTCCCGTAATCTACCATTGTTGTTCATTTTTTTATGAACACTGGGTGGAAATGACTGTGAGCTTTTCACATTTATTTCCTAAGAACTTTTAACCTCCAAAAGTAACTTACATCGGGAAGAATATGGGCAATTGAAACATATGCCCATTCACTCAATCAGTCAAATCTGAGGTAGCAATTACCTACTATTTTTGTTTCTCTTTGATTTAATCAAAAAACGAAATATTTTTCAGGTCCAGCAAGGTTGCCCCTCACTGTATATGGGGTGAATATTGTTGCAAACTGGGCATGGACTCCAATATTCTTTGGCGCAAAGAATCTCAAACTAGTGAGTTTTCTTAAATTTTAATTCAATGTAGATATAACTAGCTACCTATATTTTACTCTATTGTGCAGATTTTCATAATGATAATATTTCAGGCCTTGTATGAGATTCAGTTGATTAATGCTACTGCTCTGGGAATGACATACCTGTTTTACCAAATAAACCCAATCGCTGGACTACTCATTGTGCCTTACTGTATATGGTTGACTTTGGCTACCACTCTGAATTATGTGATTTACATGGATAACAAAACAAAGAAAAAACGATTTAGGTCAAAGATAAGAGATGCATTTCTTTCGAACAAATGATTCAAATTAGAGATGCTTTTGTCAATGAGGAAATATTTAGATAATAAATCATTTTGAGATTTGAATCTTTTTCGTGTATCAAATCATCAAGATATTGTATATGTTAAAAATGGGTATGATTTCAAGTTACAAAATAGGTAGATTGAGAAGTGAATTATTCAAAACTCTAAATTATCTCCTATTCAATTTTTTTTTCAAATCCCATATAAAAATAATACATAGGAACTGTTCTCCATTGCTTTTCATCCCTCATTGGGCCTCTGGAACTATTCAATCATTCAACCAAAGTGAATTTTTCTTTCAGGCTCTATGATAGGAAAATTCTTTAAACGCAGTGACATTTCGGGCAAATCATTTGATTTGTCCTAACTACACGTATATTGAAATAGTATTCATATTTTTATTTTATAGAGACGAGGAGAGAAAATCCCAAAAAATCTGAAATAATGAATGTAACACCTCCTCGACTAACCTATATACAGACAGTACATCCTTTGAATATTTTGAATACATTAATTAGCAAAATCATCGAAAACGGGACACACTGTACACTGGTCTTCGTTGATGGTTTGTCTCCATTATACTCCATTTCATGTGCATTCATCATTCCATCGAGAGGGACCCAAGTTTGCTTCGTTCCTTGACTTCTCGAGATATACCAGGCATGTCGTTAGGAGTAAGAGCCAGGACGCCCCGCGGGGTTTGTCTCTATATAGTATATCTGCTGGGACCAACAGGACTCTAACGTGCGACGTGAAGGTAAGTGCCCTTTAGGGATGATAATCTATTCGAATTCTCTGTTACCGTCTGCAGAGGTCGATAGATCACGAATCGATGGAGAGCGGACCCTGTATACGTGCTCTCTCGACTATAGTCCAGTCGACGAAGTATTAATTGAACTGCTCACCACGCTATATATAGTTCAAATTTGATCTATGGGTTGCGTGCAAAAACTGTCAGATGACCGTCCCTGGAGGTGAAACACAATGAACCCAATATAACATTGAGGTCAATGGTGAAACCATATATCTACTATTTCTATATGGCGTATCGCCTATATGATATCTCAACAAAAATGGGACCAAAATGAGAGGTGCTTTTCGAATCTATAAGGATGGAAAGTTTGAGATTCGTAGCCATATTGGTTTAACAAGTTTCGTATTATTTTTCCCTACGTCGGCATCAACGCCTATTGGTCGATTTCGTTACCTATAGAGACAGAAGTTGGTCCCGCTGTGAGGACAGCTATGCTCCATATATGAGTAGTAGATATATGGGTGAAACATTGAAACACAACCTCACTTTCTTTTCTTTTTTGTTTACAAATAATTTAAATAGTTTTTCACAATTATTTTGGCATACAAATCGTGTTTTTCGACTATTCATTGTGCTGTTGTACAATGCACAAAAAATGCAGCGAAAGGCGGAGGAATCCGGTTGGTATATTATGATTTAAAAGTAAGTACCTACTATAGTCACTCACATATAGTTTTCAATTTGAAAACATCTGAGCTTGCTAATTTTTTCCTGCTGTGTCGAATTTCCTGCGTGCATACCGTTGAACTTTCCGTGAATCCGCCCCTGTTTCATGTCCTGGGAAATAGTTAACTCAGAATTGAATTTCGAGGGCGAATAAGCAAGCAAACAAGCTTGAGAGGATCCCTTGATACTCCAGAAGTCAGCTTGCTGTGAAATCATAAATGTGACTGTCACGTATCCCTATAATTAGATCGTAAAAGGATTACAAGGGTCTCTAGCTATAGTTCTGATCAAGGTCTAATCTCCAACACGTGCCAAAACTAGCACTTTCCTTGTGTACTCGTTTTTGCTTATTGCTTTTTTTCTTCAAAAATAGCTTGGAATTCAACGTTTCAAAAAATAAAACTGATACGTTGATAGGTGACTAATGATCATTACTGCATATTTTCTATACAAAATTTCTGAATATTGTATGTAAGTCTAGCTTTGTTGCAGTGGCGGCTCCTCAGAGGAGGCAACGGAGGCTGAGCCTCCTCAGAGATTTTCCTTAAACTAATATTATCAATACTTTCTCATTAAAAGGACACCAAAATACATGGATTTTGATTTTATTTCCTGTTTTTAGTTAAATATTTTTGAATTGGCAACAGTGCTTTCCCACGCATCACACGTTGAAGTCTGCAAATCATGCGTAAGATATTCAACTTGGCAACATCTATAGGAGGCTAGACTCCGTCACATGGCGCAACCTACGCGCGCAATGCAAATGCCCGAATACGCCCGAATAGCACGTGTTTGTCGTGTCGCCTCGCGAATTGCGGACAAACGCGAGTGCATTGTTTATGTTTATGTTAGGTTAATGGTTAGGGGCTCTATGAATTTCTGAAAAATGAGTGTTTTGAACGATTGCGATTTAGTGGAATACTTTTTGGTGAACTCATTCAGTGCTTTGTCTTATGAAGATAAATTGATTGTGAAAAACAAACGTCCGACACCGTAATTAAAAAACACTTTTCGAAACTGAGGGAAGTTTGGAAACGTCATACTTCACGTAACCAGTTGCGTAAAGTAAAATATTACATAACTTGTGATGAAATGTTCATTCAAATTATGAAATAAAAATATGCCATTTTCAACTAATGAAAATATCAAACGTCGCTTATGTGGGACTCTATTATTGTTTACCAGATACTTCAAAGTAACGGGTGAAGTCAACTTGTCTACTAAATTTCGTACAAGGTGAACAACTAAGAACAGCTGTCGGCCATATCTCAGCAACTAGTGATTCATACGAGACCAACGTCATAAAGTCTCGTCTCGAGTCTTGTCTCGCTTCTCGTACGAGAGTCTCGCAATTGTATTGCAATTTTGTCATGCGTAATCTTGTTCTAGTCTAGTACGGGATATTTACCTTTACCTACTTTTTATTTAGGTATGATGTAGAAGTAGGAAGAGAAAATTACAACAAAAATAACTTCATTTATTGAAAAGTAAGTACCTAATAGGTATATATTTACATCATACATCTAAACAAGAAAAAAAAACATAACATTATATGTTCCAAAGTCATAAAAATAACATAAAATGTTTTGTCTATCTGTGCTAAATAGTCTGAATTATTTCTAAATATGTTGTATAATGAATGAAATTCTCAAGTCCGCAGTCGGCACGCAGAAATATTTACCTGCGAGACTCTCGCACGAGACGCGAGAAGTCTTGCATGAGACTCAAGACGATACCATTAAACGTCTCGTCTTGTCCGAGTCTCGTCTCGAGTCTTGTCTCGAAAACGAGACGAGACCATGCAAGATTCTCGAAAACGAGACTCGCGGGCATCACTATCATCAACGAATAATGATACAACTTCGAGGAAAAAAATATCTTGAAAAGTGTGACCCTGAAAAATGGCTGCAAAATATTTTTAGGTTTCTAAAGTATTCGCTAGGTGGCGTAACGGCTATGAGTAAAGAGAATATTGGAATTTTCTCCGTATTTAGTAGCAACAAGGTACCTATACCAAAAATATATGCAGTTCGATCGTTCATAAATTCCTAGTTTTTTTGTATCACACTTTTTGTCCCATCTCAAAAAATAAAGTGGTCAACTTATGTGTTTTCTAAACGTCTATAACTCTGGTTATCTTCAACAAAATACCACAATCTTTGGCTCGTTTCAGAGGCCTCTTCCTATTCTATCAACTGTGATTCGATTTGGTTTCATATTCATATCACCGTTGCCACTAGAGGGCGTGATCTAGAGTATCAATAGATATCGTGATTTAAGGAATTGAATGGTATGCAAAGTATTACACGATGAAATAGAGAAACTAAATCTCAACAAATAATATTAACGATCAAAGTTGGAAGAATGATTGATTACAGCCGTTCCTAGTTATTCAACCTATACATAATCGGTAGAACTGATGCAGAGCTGGTCATTTTAAAATCTGTTCAAGTGAAATTTTTCATCAAAATAAAGAAAATATTCTACGTAAATATTTATTCTTGCGTATATATTTTATATCTATTTTTGTGAAAACGGTTCAACCTCCATTGCACAAAATATTCCACCCTCTTTTTCAATCGGCATGAACTGTGACCTGAAATTTATTTACGAAAAGGTCAATATGCCATGAAATTTCATAAATCCATTACCTCATAATAGCAGTGTGTGGCACCTCTTTGGAAAAGTGGTAACGATTGTTAGGTTTCAACACGTTTACGACAACTGAATGTCAATGGGAACTGAAAATGCGCTTGATATGAAAGGAGTATTGCGAGCTGGGGCCCGATTCTCGAATCAGTTGGAATTCGTTCCCATGGGAAAAATGCGATATTTCCCATGGAAATTTGAGATGATGTATTCTTGAACTATTGTATGGGAAAATACTCCTACACATCTCAAGAGAACTGCTTCCCATGGTAATACCCATGGAAACAACATGTTTCCCATATGATACACTCGTGAAATATAAAGTTATTCTCATTTGTGATGGGCATGGGCACTGAACCCTAGTGAAAAATCGGAAAAACATAAATGTATTGCAAAACATGGTAAACAGTTGAAATAGCTTCACAAAATGTGGAAGTGGCTGGAATCCTTGCTAGAAGACCAAGAAGAAGGTTTTTGCCTATAGAAGGGACCCATTTTAGTGATTGTATGCTGCACAATTTATTAAAGTTTTTCGTTTGTCCAAAGACATTACTAGAGGATTGATAGGTACTTGAGAATCCTTATAAGTTAATTGGGGGTGAAATATTCCTTTCCTCAAGTCTCCAGAAGCCTCCATCATTCCTATCATAATCCTTTTCTGCTCTTTGCTAATACTACCACCTCGTGGTTTTTCATTATTGTTTGTATTCATTTCCATTCCGATCAGAGAAAATATAATAAATAAACAATACACAATAATCTCACCTTCGCAAAATTGTATTATAACCTCAAAATTAGTCAAAATCGAAATGTCAACATTTCATTTCAATCATCCACCAGTTACCAACATAAATTGCACTTATTTCATGGTGAATTCATGTAAGCTCAAGAATCTACCTGCAACATACGGCACTTTTTCAATCCCCTATTATCATGATGACATCAAGCTTTAGTATATCTATCTCCTTGCAGAAAAGATTTAGTTTGTCATTCTATTTGTGTTATATTCGACAGCTCTTCGTCAATCAACACGATTTTCATAGGTATAATATTGTCACACCTGATGTAACTAGTGGTCGGTCTAGGGCGTAGCTTTAGGGGTAGTTTTATGCATTCAAGACTTGGAAATAACGAA